TTATAAGTCATAAAAGCTTTTACAAAAATTTACTTCGCAAATATCCGCGTTATAAAATAAAATGATGTGTCTTACCTAGTATGAAGAAGCACCTCCCGCCCTCCCTCAATTGCGTGCACTATCCCCGTCACCACTAATCCCAGCACCGCTACTTCCAACACCACTACACTAGGCAAGACACACCACTGACGATAATACGACACGTGTTTCGCCTCTACACTTGGCACTTGTTTTGACTCGCCGCTCACTTAGCGGTTAGCCACCGTAGAGTCTATATCACCTGAGGATGCCTCGTGTAGAGGCGAAACACGTGTCGTATTATCGTCAGTGGTGTGTCTTGCCTAGTGTAGTGGTGTTGGAAGTAGCGGTGCTGGGATTAGTGGTGACGGGGATAGTGCACGCAATTGAGGGAGGGCGGGAGGTGCTTCTTCATACTAGGTAAGACACATCATTTTATTTTATAACGCGGATATTTGCGAAGTAAATTTTTGTAAAAGCTTTTATATAATGGATTTCCGCAAAGTAACGCCTGATTCTATTAATTATATTATAAGTCATATAAAAACATGGAATACTAATAATGTCAGTTAATTAATATTATGCTATGTTTCTTGGATTGTTAAAATTGAGATTTAAAATTAAATCTAATTTGGCAAATTAATAGCTGCTTTTAGTTTTATAATGATTTATTCATTTATAGAAATCTGACTTTTTAATTTGTATGATAAAAAAATAATTTAAAATAATTTTCCATAAAATAAATACAAGTTATATTTGTAGGCAGAATCATAAATTTAATTTTTATTAATTGTTTTGATGGCGGTTTTATCGCCCAGTAAACTTAAGGTTCATTAGGTAGTAGTGCCTTTTTCTGAAGAGTTTCTCTGTCTGTTTCTGCTCTTTTTGTATATAATGTCATAAGTTGCTACCATACTGTTGTCTATTCCTGCCGCCAAGTAGTTGTGAACTCATTGTTAGATACGTTCCAGTTTACTTTTACTTTCTTGATGAATATCATAAATCAAAATACACTTAAAATTTTCTGCAACTATACATAAATTGATAAAACAAATCATAACTTACCTGCTTTTAGGCAAACATTACAAAAATATTGTTTATTTTTATCCACCTTCTAAAAAGGAGGGTTATCGATTCGACTGCACCTACAATTTTCTTTATTTTATATATGTTTCATGATATTGCCGAGGTTAGTAAAACGTTTAGGGTTTATTTCTCAACGGTGAGTTAAAAGTTATTTATACGATAAAATATAACATTCAATAAATAATTAAAAATAAAATTTTTTGTACAACCGAGTTCAATATAAATTATTAGGAATAACTCAAAAACTATTGGTCAGACCTTGATCAAATTTATATGGGATTACATGAGAAGCACCAGCTTTCAAATAAAAATAAATAAATATCGAAATCGGTTCACCCAGAACAAAGTTATGAGGTAACACACACATAAAAAAGACATATAGTCGAATTGTGTACATCCTCCTTTTTGACGTCGGTAGAAAAATACAGTTGTATGACTATACAGTGAAACCATCATAGTCATACAACTGTATTTTTCTTTACTTGATTAAATATTTTATAAAAATAGACTGGCTTAGAGTTTTGATGATCAGTCAGTGAGTGAGTGACAAAATTAAGAGAATGGCCTGAACCCTGAACTGCTTCGAGAAAATGAATACAATTATATTATATGTGTTGATTTAGACAAAATAACGTAAAATTTTATGACTTTAGATTAATTAATATTTTAAAATATACATCTTGATATGTCCTGTCATTGGCCTTATTGATTTTTCTCTTAGATTAATGATAGGTCTTCGCGCGCTCAGAGCGAGCGATGACATATGATATGTAATCTATGATTTTTCTTGTTTGTTTCCCGGCTCAAAGAAGTGACTTTTTGAAATTTCATGAATATAGAAACCGTGATCAAAATCGCTATATTTAATATTCACGGTACTTTTTCTCAAAATTCCGTTAGCATGCATGCGCAACAAAAACAGTTTGGTTACAACAATTTTAATATCTCTTAAAATGTGAATACTAGAATAAGCTTAAGAAACTGTTTAATAGCCTCATTAAAAGTAAAAAAAAAATGAGAAGCCTAGAGCCTAGATACAACTCTCATTAAAATCTTTTAAATACAATTCTAAAAATAAAGGTCATGCAAATAGTATTGTAAGTGCTATGGAAGAGCAGAGTCTCCTAACACAAGTTTTTATACTTAAAAGGAGATCCCATCCCCGCTTATAATTAATGTATGATCATTTACTGAATAAACTATTTTTATTGTATTTTTAAATTCTGGTGGCCGTATGAGGAAGTTACGGGTAAAGAATCCATGCCAGGAGTATTTCCGCGTGACAGAATTCATGATGAGGATATCTAAAATAGAACCAGAGTAACTGGGGGGCGAGGCTGCTCGCGTCCGTAGGAAATACTTGAAATCTGACACCCTACACGTGCCCCCCGGGTAGTGCTAAACGAGCAGCACCAATTCCGGGGGTAGGTTTCGGCCGCTGGCTTTTCGGTTACCACCCACCAATGCAAAGTCTTGCCGCCAAATGACTTTGTCGTGTTCCGGCATGATGCTTGATGAAGCCATATGGGGAATGAGTCCGAACAGTAGCGTTGTGTACGTAAACCTGGTACGAAGCGTCAGTTGTTGCTATATCGGGTGCTTGGTCGTGGAGGGTAGCGGGATCCGAAGCAGGGTGTTCCGCTGGCCGACCGCAAGTAGTTGGGAGCCCAATTAGTGAATTAGCTACTCAAGAAAGGCTGCCCCACCAACTGGCGAAAAATCCCAGGGTGGCCGCATCGTGCCGGTTAGCGACCGGGCGAGAGGACCCGATGGCGATCTCTGGGGGGGTTCGGGCGTCCCCGCAGTCTCCAGCTCAAGCTCCCATGGGCACAGTAACTCTGATAGTGTCGTTTGGTTGCTAATGCAACGCCTCGCTCAATTGGCATTCTCCATCCTTATTCACTCTCAGCACTTAATATGTACACAAAAAAGAAAAGTAGGGTTAAACAGCTGTTGCACGTCCTCTCACTAAAAGTGCACCTCACTAATATTCGAGGATTGCACTCTAATCTCAGCGCAGTCCATCACCATCTTGAGACTGAAAAGCCGCACCTACTTTTCTTGACAGAAACGCAAATTGGATGTCCATTGAGTGCGGCGTACCTTGACTTTCCTGGATTCTCCCTGGAGCACAAATTCCATCCACGTGCCGGAGTATGTGTGTACGTCCGCAATGACATCTGCTTCCAGCGTCTCTGTCACCTTGAAGACCCCACTTTTTCGACAATCTGGGTGATGGTAGATACAGGTATTGATAAAATCCTTTATGTCTGTGTCTATCGATCGCACAGCGGTGACCAGGAGGCAACACGATTATTTGATCACCTTAGTGAGGCTGATGACGTGGCCCTAAATCGATATCCTACTGCACTGTTGGTCTTTCTGAGGGACTTTAACGCTTGTCACCAAGACTGGCTGTTCCCATACCAAAAGACCGACCATGCTGGAAGAGAAGCGTGGAATTTTGCTTTGACGCTAGATCTTTCTCAGATGGTAAAGGTGGCGACTAGGGTACCCGATGTAGACGGTCACACAGCAAATTGCTTGGACCTTCTGCTGACTACCGAACCAGACAGATATAAAATACAGGTAACTTCTCCTTTGGGTACATCTGACCACTGTCTGGTGAAATCTGTATCGTCATATTCTCCACCTGATTACGAGTCCCAAGGTGTTCGACGAATATGGCGGAATAAGTCAGCTGATTGGAATGAGATGCGATACTTTTTTGCATCTTATCCTTGGCGGGAGGTTTGTTTATCTTTGCGGATCCGTCGAGCTGCGCGGTTGCGATAACGGATGTGTAGCGTCAAGCTATGGAGTACTTTATCTCCTTCTCTGACGTTCCCACCGGTAGCAAAGTTCGCCCATGGTTTAACGCTGAATGCGCCCAAGCTGAAAAGCGCAAGCATTTAGCTTACCTATCCTGGGTTCACGCTCGAAACCGCAAAGCTCCGGATATTAACTCCAAGAAGAGAACTTTCAACCAGACCGCCAAGTCCTACCAAAAAGCATTACGGAAAGCTAGTCTCGATCGTCGATCGTTAAACATATTGGCGCAAAACTCTCTGCCAGACCATCCAGCACTAGAGCTTTTTGGTCTCTCGCCAAAGCGGTCGAGACAAACTTCTGTCGGCCTACACTGCCTCCGTTGGTAAAACCGGATGGCACACTGGCTCATACGGCTAAGGAGAAAGCGGACTTGTTCGCGTCTCTCTTTGCGTACAATTCACGTCTGCACAGTGGCAACAACGTTCCACCAAAATAACCTCACTGCGGGACCTCTATATCGGAGATTCGTATAACGAATAAGGAGGTTCTTAAAACCTTGCGGTGTCTAGACGTGAATAAAGCTAGTGGACCAGATGGTATACCAGCTATAGTCCTAAAGGCTTGTGCACCTGAGTTGTCTCCTGTGTTGACACGCTTGTTCCGCCTCTCATTTAGTACTGGAATAGTGCCAAAATCCTGGAAGCTGGCCATCGTGCAGCCTGTTCCAAAAAAAAGGCAGCCGCGCCGACCCTGCCAATTATCGTCCAATCTCAATTACCTCCATACTCTGCAAGATTATGGAGCGTATATTGAATGCCCGCTTAATGGCATACCTAGAACAGAATGACCTCCTTAGTGACCGGCAATATAGGTTTCGCCGAAATCGGTCAGCTGGGGACCTTCTAGCGTATGCCACACACGTATGGGGCGAGGCACTCGAGAACAGTGGGGAACCACTTGCTATTTCCCTTGATGTCTCGAAGGCCTTTGACAGAGTTTGGCACACTAGCCTTTTGGGTAAGCTTCCAGCGTACGGCTTATCCCCTGGTCTGATTGAATGAGTAAAGGACTTTCTGAGTGAACGGTCTCTCCGGGTCGTCGTCGATGACTGCTCATCCAATCCTATGGCGACTAACGCCGGTGTTCCTCAGGGGTCCGTTCTCTCCGCAACTCTCTTCCTGCTGCATATTAATGATGTGCTTATGCCCGGTATCTATGGGTATGCAGACGATAGCACAGTTGTTGAGAGATACCAACCAAGTCCTCGGGCCAGTCGGGATCAAATCCAGTCCGAAAGAGAAGCTATGGTAGAGCGTGTGAATCTCACATTACAGGCAGTCTTCGATTGGGGCGATGCCAATCTTGTGAAGTTCAACGCCTCCAAAACACAAGCGTGTCTCTTCACTGCAAAAAGGACCCAGCTCACCCTGGCTCCTTCTTTCCGAAATGTATCACTGAAATATACCGACCGCCTTCAGTTGTTAGGGTTTGAAATATCCTCAAATTTGAACTTCGGGCGGTTCATTGAGTCCAAGGCCAAAGCAGCTGCAAGGAAGCTGGGAGTCCTTGCAAAGGTGCGGCGATACTTCACGCCGGGACAGCTGCTTACTTTATATAAAGCGCAAGTCCGGTCGTGCATGGAGTATTGCTGCCATATATGGGCTGGTGCTGCAAAATGCCACCTAGCAGCTTTGGACTCAATGGAAAGGCACGATAAGAGGCTTATTGGTGACCCAAATTTGGTTAAAACCAATCTTATCAGCCTCAAATACAGACGTAAAGTAGCCAGCCTTTCGGTTTTCTACAGGATGCATTTCGGAGTGTGTGCGCAGGAATTACATAATTTAATTCCACCCTCTCCCTTCCACCATCGGACAACCAGACGTTCGGCCAGTCTCCACCCTTTCGTTGTTGACTTACCACGCATTCGAACCAAACGGTTCGCCACGTCGTGCATCGTGCGTACAGCAAAGGAGTGGAATAAGTTGCCAGCATCTGTCTTTCCATCCGATTACAGTGTGGCTGTCTTCAAAGCAAGAGTGAATAAGCTTTTGTTAAGTCAGTGCGCTTCACCATCTTAGGCTACATTACCACTTACCATCAGGTGGGATCGTAGATAAGCGCTGCCTTAGTAGAATATTAAAAAAAAAACTGCTATAGCCCAACGGATTACCAAGTTGGCCGGCAAATAATTCAAAGCAGAGACGACCGATGGGAAGTTTTCGAGTGGCAGCTTCATATAAGCGTGGCCACATGAGTAAAGAAACCGTAGCGTGGTTCCCCACCAGATTGTGTTGACCTGGTAAGACATGTCAACTCTTGGATGAATACAGAAACAGACAGACAAAATAATAAAACCAATAATTTCACTTCAATCTGCTTTATAATGTACTTGTACTCGCTTTTTCCGAGAAATATTGATATTACAGATTACGGTAACAAATTTTCTCAAGAATTATCATATTAACCCTTCCGCTGTCCCTTGCACTTCATATAGGTCATGAAGTGCAAGGGACAGCGCGCAAGACAAGGGACATTGCTATTGTCTTATTGTGCCTGAAAACCGGACAGTGAAAGTGTTAAATTAATACGTAAGTACTCGTTATAATTTCTGTGTAAAAATAGTTGTATTATTATCAATTATTTAGGGTTAAGTACAAAATAAATTTTACCGTGTATTTCCTATCCAGCGTACCGGCATCGGGGGGCGATCGATGTCAGCCCTCGCGTCTCCCAATCAGCTCCATCAAAACTCGAGCTCATTACTCAAAATCAATTAGCGTTATTAGTGCGGCGCGTCTTCGTTAGCCTGTGATGGAGGGTAATTTATTGGCATCTCTTAATTAGGGATAAGTCTAATTGGAGGCTTAGTAGTAACGAGGCCCTCGAAATCTGACGTCCTGACGAACAAATTGGTTGGCCGGGACTCGGCCCGTGTACTCCACTTGCCCTATTGCTACCATTGCCAGCGATATTTCGAGGTGCTTACTTGATTTTGCTAGCGCTGTTTGTTTTGTACCGCCTTGATAAGTACTAAAAATAATTCCAACGCTAAATGTTTGTAATAAAATAAGAAGAGATTTCTGCATTATATGAAAAACCTTTTTAATCATAGGGGAAGTGAAATAGTATGTTATTTGTGAAATTTTGACTGCTCGGAAGCAAGACTGCCCTCGCCGTGGGTTCGATTTTCGCTCCGAAGAAGTTTCTCATGGTCTTGTTTTTTTAGACCATGAAAGAAAGAAATTACTAGTGTGGGTAGAACTATTTTAATTTTTAAACTGAATAAACATTAAACAACTGAATTAGTTTGAAGTAGTATTATATACAAATTATTAATACATTTCATTAGTAAAACTAAACTTGCGATATACTAAATTACAAGCAATATTTTACAAATTAATTTTATTTAGGTTCTAAGAACTTTAAGTATAGTGCCTATCAACTGCAACTACATTCGAACTACTTTTCCCAAAAAGGAAACTATGCGTGGTTATTACTTTAATTATTTCGCTTGGTTATTTTTGATGTATAGTTAAAAAAATTAAATGTTGACTAAAATTTCCACAGCTTTCTTTTTTATCTTCTTATTAAGTGCTATTCTTGATGTTTTGCTATTAAAATTGGAGTAGCAGTTACAAGTGTATTTATATTTTGTACTAGTTTTTACCCGCACCTTTGTTATTTGTTACAAGACATAAGAAGTAACACGTTAGTAGAGTAGAGTAATTTTGGTGTTATAGTATACTTAGATAGAATATAGGTACGTAGTGGCAGTCCGTTTAGGTCAGTGCTACCCTCTTGCCTCTTTCTGCCGCGAAGCTGTTTATATTCGGTTTAAAGGATAAGAACCAGGTGTAATTAGTGTCGTTAAGGCATTCTAACTTAACTTTCAGGATTATATGCAGTCTGAAGGTTTCTTAGTTTTAAGTTGGTTGCTTGCGTTGGTGGTGGTGCATGGTAGAGTAGTCAATTACAATTAGATGGACTGTTAACTTGTCTTTCACATACATTTTTTATAAGTAATGGTGATAAACGAATATACATTATACATGAAATACACTTTTCTACATACTTGTACTACTTTAAACATAACACGTAAAATTATCTTGACGCATATTTATTTATATGAGGCCATTCACGTAGCAATGGTCAACTTGGCTCGATCGGTCTGTGCTACCATCACTATGTGATATGTGAATGGAATTATTTATCAAACTCTAAAAACTACTACACAAGCGTTTCGTACCGGAAGGATACAAGACTCAGGACATAGACCACAGACTATAAAATTACGTTATATACTCGTAATAAAGACTATAAATATTATGATAAATATGCAGTGTAGTAGTGGTGTAAGAATATCCATACCGTCCCGTGCTATGGGATCCCGTGGGTGACGTAAGAGGCGACAGAGGGAAACAAATCAGGAGATGGGCAGCAGCGTCTTCCTAATAAGTAACAAGAACTGCGGTTGCCAACCCGTTTGCCAAGCGTGACAACTATGGCAAATATCACCTCTATAAGGCTGTCTATGGAGAAGGCTCATGTCCAGCAGTGGACTTTAATCTGTAACGGTAACGGTAACGAGGGTATAAGCAAAATAATTATACTCTAAATTTTATGACTTACAGTAACTTCCCGTTTAAATTTAATTTATTAAGCCACAGAAACCTTGTATCATGCGAATATTGGTTCTCCGCAATAAAAAAAATGTTGCATATTTTCCTCCAGCAAGCGTTTGCGGCGAGGTCTAAGTGGTGCGGTCGCTGCGGTTCAAAGCGGTCATATTAAAAGACGAAGAAAAAACTTAACTCACAAATAAAAGTGTTCAGACAACGGAATGATCAAGTGCGCCGCGCGATGTAACGCGATATTTTGTGATGTGCTTTATTCCGACGCAGCCTGAGAGAACTGGTCAACATCTATAATTAGATCCGATCCTTTTGACGTCGTACTTCGAATGTGCGATATATATTAATGATAAACTTCACTCGCGACTTTGATCGCGTCGATTTTCAAATGAATCTGAAAATCCATTCAGTTTTTTACAGAAATAAGGGTGACAATTATAGAGTGCCGACCTGAAAAGACATGCTTTGTGAAATTATTGACGGGAGATCTATGTGTAGGAGTGGACTAATGAAGGGTTGATAATAAATGAACGATGACAAACATGCACACAACTCATTTTATTGTAAGTCGTCATAGATACTCGTATAAGTTAATGTAATTACTATAATACTATTCAAAGACAAAATTCAGATGCGTCCCTGCGAACTAAGACAACAAGCTCATTATCGGTAATAAGGATCTACGAGTACATTTTTCGCCACAATCACCATACGAACACAGCAGCATTGCACAACATTTTCTTTTGTATTTTACACTTGTAACCTGTGGGAGTGTAATCTTTCCCTGGCCCTGGTCGACCCATTCGTGGTGCATCCATAATACTCTGCAGTGTCGCTCTACCGCGTGAAAATATTATTGCAATGAATTATATTTCATTAGGCCTTTGTTACGCTAAGACAGTGCGATTTACCATCTAAGGCTGCATCACCACTTACCACCAGATGGGATTGTGGTCAAGCACTGGCTTATAATAAGTAAAAAAAAAAAAAGTCCCTGGACTAGTTTGCTATTTGCATATACGAGTGCTTACTATTCTGAATGTACGTTTCTTTGTTTTTTTTCCCATTGAACAAGTTTAATGTTACATCCGGTTTGCTTTTTCTTTTGCAATGTGTACGGCAAAGGAGTGGAATAATTTGCAGACGTCTGTCTTTCCGTCCGATTACAATCTAGATGTTTTCAAGGCAAGAGTGAAAAGGTTTTGATTACGCTAATAAAGAGCGATTTACCATCCAGGGCTTCATCGCCACTTACCATCAGGTGGGATTGTAGTCAAGCACTGGCTTACAATAAGAAAAAAAAATATAAAAATTAGTTTTATATATTTTCACAGTGAAGTGGCGGTGTAAGATTATCCACTACCCCATATCGTCCCGTGGGGAAACAAGCCAGGAGATGGCCAGCAGCATCTTTCTAATAACAAGTCGAAAATAGAAAACAGCGGTTGTAAGCCCGCCTGGCAAACGTGGCAACTATGGCAAATATACTCCTTATTAGGAAATATAAACCTATGTTCAGCAGATGGCCTGTTACGGTAACGAATATATTATATTTTAAGTTAATTATGTGAAAAAAAAAATACTTTTTAATTACAGTGTCAACCTTCCTTCGTTTCGTGAAGAATATTTCCTCACGACACGTTAGTAGTAGTTAGACTGTGATACAACCGTAGACATATCAGGCGCAGGACCAACGGCTTTACGTGCTTACCGAGACACGAAAATTTCTTCTCGTGCCCAAAGACTGATTTTCAGTCCGATCCGGAATTCCAGTCTGGAAACATGATCTGCAGTCGCACTTACGATTACGACTACTAGAGTAATTAAGCAGTCGTTTCTGGATAACTATTGTAATAACATATGGTGTTAATATGACGTCTCCGTGGCGCAGTGGCTTAGCAATAAGTTGCAGCGCTAAGGGCCGCGGCTTCGAATCCCGCACGGAACAAGTATTTATGGCCTACAAATAATTGTTCCGGGTCTGGATGTTTGTCCTTGTGAAATCTATGTATGTAAACTGCCCCCGCGATACAGGAGAAAATCCTAGTGTGGAGGTAAGGTTTTTTTAAATAAGAAAATAAAATAAGAAATATTACCTTAACTTACGGTCATAGCATACTCAGAAAAACAACATCCTCTTTTCACTAAATGACAGTAGAAAAAGACCGGTACGAGTAAGTAATATTCAACAATTATAAGCAAGGCCGTTTGTACATATATTTAAAGTGAAACTGCTTTTAACTGTTCATACACATTACTTTAAAATTAAAAATGTTGTATTTTACATATTTTACTTGTAGAGTAGTGCTTATAATTATTAGATGCTAGTTAAACACAAATTTCACTCTATTACGCTGCCATTAAAACGACGCCATTTACATATATTATATTAGGTACCTACGTATTTTTTGCTTATGGGCTGGAAAAGAACATAAAAGTATAGAATA